CTTTGATGGCGGAAGCCCAGTTTTTGAGACAGATTTCCAAAAAACCAAACTCTACACCCAAACCCCTAACCATTGGACCAGAGAGTGTTACCAAGGTGGCGACGGCCTCTCGCCAGGACATCCTCTCTTGTAATTTTGTACTCCAGTGGGGACAAGGGAATGCAAGTAAGGGAACAATGGCCTCTTGCCTTACCACTTTTTCCTTCACAAATTCCAAAACCTAACCCTAACTCAAAAATGTCAGAAATCTAACACCCAAGAGGTTTACAAGATGACACTAACCTACAACAAGGTGAACAGAGAGCAATGAAAATGTGCGACGGCCAGTGCATTGCCTTTACTTCCTACCCCAAACTGCTTTGTCGTCAGACACGGCAGAGGAACTTATCAAGACAGATTTAAAAATCCTAGCCCTAACCCTAACCCACCACACCAAACACCACCCTTCACTCTTCTCCCCACTCCTCTCCCATGAAAATGGGAAGAGTTGGGGGAGGTAGAGTGTACAGCCTGAACGGGCGGAGACAATTGTGTCTGAACAGACCTCTCTCCTTGACTCTACCTCCCCTGAAACAAATCACTACACGTTCTTCACACCCACCACACCAAACACCACCCTTCCCTCTTCTCCCCACTCCTCTCCCATGAAAATGGGACAGTAGGTGGAGGTAGAGTGTACAGCCTGATCCGGCGGAGGAGATTTGTGTCCGAAAAGACCTCTCTCCTTGACTCTACCTCTCCTGGAATAAATCACCACACATTTTTCACAAGCACCACACCAAACATCCCTTGTGTCTATTCTCCCCACTCTTCATATATCTACACATTACAGTAGCTATTAAATACCAACCATTTACAAACCATTTGGACTATAAACATGGTTGTCGCGAATATTCTTAAAAATGATCTTGATGGCCACCTCTCGTCTCATCAGGATGAGTCGAGTCAGCGTGACTTTAGCAAAGTTGCCCTTCCCAATGATTCTGAACAGTTCACTGAACCTTTTCCATTTAATGAACACCTACCAACCCTTTACTCGAACCCCTACCCTCTAACTCTGACCCTTAACCCTAACATCTGACCCTAACCTCTCAACCCTGAACCTAATACCTTAACCCTAGTATCTGACCCTAACCCTAACCTCTAAACCCTGACCCTAATACCCTAACCCTATCGCTGATCCTAACCCTACCTCTAATCCTGATCCTAAACCCTAACCCTAACCTCTGACCATGAACCCTAACATCTGAGCCTAACCCTGACCCTAAAAACCAACCCGAACCCTAAACTCTAACCCTAACCCTAAATCCTAACCCTAACCCCAAACCCCAACCTCTAAATCTAAACCCTAACCCTATCCTCTAACCCTGACCCTAACCCTAGCCTCTAACCCCTATCCTCTGACCCTGACCCTAATCTCTAGCCCTAGCCTCGAACCCTGACCCTAATACCCTAACCCTATCGCTGATCCTAACCCTACCTCTAATCCTGATTCTAAACCCTAACCCTAACCTCTGACCATGAACCCTAACATCTGACCCTAACCCTGACCCTAAAAACCAACCCGAACCCTAAACTCTAACCCTAACCCTAAATCCCAACCCTAACCCCAAACCCCAACCTCTAAATCTAAACCCTAACCCTAACCTCTAACCCTGACCCTAACCCTAGCCTCTAACCCCTAACCTCTGACCCTGACTCTAATCTCTAGCCCTAGCCTCGAACCCTGACACTAAACCCTAACCCTACATCTGACCCTAACCCTACCTCTAACACTGACCCTAAACCCTAACCCTGACCTCTGACCCTGAACTCTAACATCTGACCCTAAACTCTAACCCTGACCCTAAAAGCCAACCCTAACCCTAAACTCTAACCCTATCCCTAAACCCTAACTGTAGCCTCCAACCCTGACCCTAAACCCTAATCTCTAGCCCTGGCCCCAACACCCCGACCTCTAACCCTGACCCTGAATCCTAATCCTAGTCTCTAACCCTGACCCTAACCTCTAACCCTCACCCTAACCCTAGCCTCTAACCCCTAACCCTAACCTCAGCCCCCAACTCTAATCCTCTATTCTTATCTCCTGCTATTCAAAATAGAAAGATTGCACACAAAAAAAAGAAAAAAAAAACACAAAACATTAACCCTAAAACACTTACATTATTTAGAAAACCAAAAAATAATAACGAAAAAACAACTGGACCTCCAAAGAGAACCTACCTACAAAATATTTGATCTATAAAAATATAAGTCCAAAAATCAAATCAACCGTGACGCCTAATAGCCTAAGAAAAACTTAAATAATACAAGGAAATAAACACTTAAAACAGATCACATACCAAGTAAAACGTCTGAAATCCAAACAAAAGATATTTTTTAATTCTTGACAAAAATGACAAACATCACAATAAAAAGCTAAATCATGATCAAATCAAATGCATAACCTTTAAAAAGATCTAACCAACTCTGTAGCACATACAGACACTATATGATCAGCCCCAGATTACAGAGGCCTACACCTGACTGACTCCAAATGGTTCTCACCTGTCACAAGCCCACTGACACACACCCCCTCATTTGAATTAACTACTACTAAGCATCATGGGTAAGACGTTTTACCCACCAATTTTTGCACACTAAATGAACAAAAAACGCTAGGAGATGTATATACACACTGTTTACCTTTACACTGAAGGACAAAAAAGCAATCTTTAAACTTAGAACCGCGACCAAGGAGGACACCTCCAAAATAGACCCCAGCTCACATAAATCCCCAATCTCCAACCAAAAGTTTACCTAGGGTCGTGTGGTGTATGGGACCCAGGTTCCTTTCAGGGTCTCCTGGGGTCGTGCAGTGTATGGGACACAGGAGGAGTTTCTTCATAAAACTCTATAAACTTAGAATTAAGTGTCAGACTCATTTTCCTTTTTAAAAAATTCTTTAAATACTGGGACGAAAGCGCTGTTGGCTCCATGGACTATTGCTTGTGGCCACACCACTGTGACAGCGCCCGATCCTGTCTGATCTCGGAAGCTAAGCGCGATCGGACCCGTTTAGTACTTGGACGGGAGACCGCCTGGGAATACCTGGTGCTGTAAGCTTTTCCAGAGCTGGCTTGAAACATTTTGGGAAGTTAAACACTTTTAATGTCGCTGTTGAATCAGCACAGCTGGCTGTTGAAGCAGCAGAGGCCGCTGTTGGTTCATTAGACCTGACAATGAAAGGAAGTGTTGATGTCCAGAGCTGGCTTGAAACATTTTGGGAAGTGAAACACTTTCTGATGTCGCTGTTGAAGCAGCAGAGGCTGCTGTTGTTTCAAAAGAACCCACAATGAAAGGAAGTGTTTCTTGAAAGCTGTGAAAAGCGCTGTTGGCTCCATGGACTGTTGCTTACGGCCACACCAGCCTGTGAACACCACATCCCCTGTTGGAGCATGTGCAGTACAAATTGTTTGGAGAGCGTGTGAGAGAGAGACAGAGCCCTGAGAGTTTCTGGTCATCCTTGATTTGTTTTTTTTTGAGAAGATATTTGTGTTTGTTTTTGGAGCTATTCAGATTTAATTACGTTTTTTTACAACCCCCAACAGTGGAAACACTGAGGTGCAATGGTAACGGGGAGGACGGATAATAAGGAAACGACCAGGACTGTCTCTAGAACAACGCAGCAGAACAACGGACAAACGAATTTGGACACAAATGACAGACAGACATCACCAGCAACGACCCAGGAACGGCAGATGACAATGACAAAGGAAATGGACAAAAGTGGGAGGAGAGAGGAAAGGAGAGCGGCGAAGGGGCAAGACGGCAGGAGAGATGGCGGAAGAGACGGCTTGGAGAAGTGGAACGCGGAATATAGTAAAAAACTAACCTGTTTCATAGAGCTGATGGGAGAAGATAAAGTGACGGTGATGGAATTACTAAAATGCCTGAGGGAGCTCTGTGGAGGATTGATGGCGTGCAGGCAGCTGACGGTGAGGAAATATGAGGTGACTATCAGTGGAGAAGCTGGACGGAGACAACTGCTGGATGGTTTTAAAATCGGGACACGACAATTATAGCTAAGGAACTTTCAAACCAGGAACTGGTCGTCTCATTTCTGGGACTCCCAGCATACATCACAGATGAAGCGATCATAGATAAGCAGTGTCGCCAATAAAGAGGAGGATGTGGCCCGGCACTAATATTGCTGATAGGACCAGGTATGTGGAAGTTAAATTCACTGAGCATATCCAGTCATTGCCGTACTCAACAAAATTTATGACAGTGACTGGGCCAGAATATGTCCGCGTTATACATGACAGACAGGTCAAGGTGTGCAGGGTTTGTATACAGCCGGGACACATCCTCCGGGAATGTCCAGAGTTCCTTTGTCATGTGTGCAGAGCCCAGGGGCACTATGCAAAAGAGTGCGATATGAGGACGAGGGTAAATAGATGTGAAATTTGCCACAATCAATTGGGAAATTGTGTATGCAACCATAGTGAGCATGATAATTGTATGAACTCTGTCTCTGAGTCGGAGGAGGATGAGACGAATGAGATCTCGCAGGAGGAGGGAGGGCAGAGCACAAGGGAAGTAGCTGGTTGTGCAGCTCACCCTGCTGTGGACAGCTGTGGCGAGGGGGGTGTCTCCGACAAGCGCAGCGCAGGGGGCGTCTCCAGCACGCGCAGTGAGGGAGGTGTCTCTGGCGAGCGCAGCGTGGAGGGCACTCAGCCACTGAGAGCGACACAGGACGAGGCGGCGGGTGAGCTGGCCTCAGGGGAGAGGATTATTTCCTCGAAAGGTGCTCCGCCTCAGGGCGAGAAAAACAGGGAGCGAAGGAGCAGCGTGCCTGAAACGCAGCTCGAGCTCTCTCCCTCCCAGTGTGTGGCAGGTGGTAGCCCTGCTGTGGAAATGCGGTCCTCCGACTCAGAAATGGATATGTTTGAAGTCACTCAACTACGAAAAAGACAGAGTGCAGATAGGCAACTGAAAAACAGTAAAAAATCAAGAAGCAAAAAAGAGAGCAATAAATGATAAGAAAACTAACCCTTGTCCTCTATCTCCTCTTCATGCTACGGTTGGTCTCCCTCAACGCTTGTGGGCTCCGCACCGCAATCAAAATAACTGGTGTGTTAGCAGGAGGAAAAGGGAAAATAATGTGTCTACAGGAGACCAGGTGGGATGAAAAGATCGTGAGGGAAGTTCAAAAGCAGTGGAGAGGGAAGATTTTCACATGCAATGTGACAAATTCAGTGCGGGGAGTGGCGGTGTTAGTGCCAGAAGAATTTGGAGAAAAATCAAAAATGATAGGGAAAGATACAGAAGGGAGACTAATCATAGTAGAAATAGAATACAAAGGTGAAGTTTATAGAATAATAAATGTGCACTGTCCAAACTGTAGGGTTTGTAGTGGGTGGAAAATAAGGTATACTTATTTCCACACCAAAGCAAGGGATTGCATTAATTAAAATTATTAAAACCAACCTTTGAATTATTCGTCCAGCGATATAATCTCAGAGTCAGCATAATAATTCTAATAAATTGTTTACTCTTGGTGATCAGTCAAGAGTGTTTTATAAAGTTAAGGGAATTAACTTAGAGCTTAGGTAACTAAAGATCAGATGCGTAAAGTGACTGGATGTAAGCCATAGAAAACACAGGAAACAACTGTATACACACACACAACATTTATTACTAACTAAAACAAACAAACAAATAACACAACAAACATAAAATATAAAATACAAACATTGATGAAAATGCTGGTTGAGAATATGAGTGTGAAAACCTAATGTGGAACAGAGTGGTGGCTTGGAGACTTAAAAGTCTTTTCACCCGAAGCAGCAGATATAAATTTGGAATACTGGTCGGAAGGCCAATTGTAATCATGAAACACCCGTTTAGAGACAGAAGCTTGATACTTGCAGTTTCCCGGGTGCAGCAGCGTCGGGAATTGGGAGACGAGGCCTTCAGCTTGAGTTGGATCAGGGTGTGGCAGTTTAAGTTGCTACATTGGACCAAAGTGGGCAGCTCTACGGCAGTTAGAGAGTGCCCCTAGAGAATGCCCCTGCTTTTCAGGTGAAGAGGCTTTTTAATAGTAAGACTACTGACCAATCACAGCGAGCTCCGCTCCCAGAGGGGCTGTTAGATATGACATCCCAGTATCACCGGGAGGTCGTGAGGTGGTCATGATGTGGTCAGAGTTTTACTCTGAAAGTAACAATGTTACTTCAGAACTATATGTATTTGTACTGATACAAAGTTAAGCTTGTTGGAAATTAATGTGTCACATGTAGAGCTTCACGGGGAGTGTAAACATGACTTAGCTATCTTGTACGATTACAGAAATAACACAATGCTTGGGATATGGTAATATAACAAGCTGATAAATTAAAGAAGGACTTATCCAACTGTAATTAAGCTTTGGAGTATTTATCAGGACATGATATACCATAACATTTAACAATTAAACTTAACACACGATAGTAAGGCACATCTTCTGGTGCTGCATCTTTTTGTTCATCCATAAGTTCAGTTGTTAAGTCCAGTTGTTGCATGCCACAGGAAATGAGGGGTCAGCAGAGCAATACGTTAAGCCCGGGCACTTCATTGCACCCGGTCATCTGGACCATTTATTAAGGTTATTATTAGATTAGTTTATTTAAAAGGGGACAGCACAATTTCATAAAACACATGATTACACATGGTTAAAAAAGCCAGAATTAGCCAGAAGGCTAGTTTTCATCTGTAGTCCCCTGGCCATGATGTAAAACAGGCAGTAAAACTACAATTTAAAAAAGAAGAAAAGAAAAGAGAAAAGAAAAGAAAAGAAAA